AACTACTTTCTCAGTACATCTCGGGGACAGAAGCGGCATTGTCTAGAGCAAGAGTGATGGAGACTTCCAATCTTGTTGTTCTTCAAGCTTTGGTAATACATCTGATCACCATCCGCGAGATCTATGCGCCACGCGCGACCTGGACGCTTACCGGCGTCGCTGTTCGCATCGCTCAAAGCATGGGACTTGAGCGCGATGGTAAATATCTAGGAATATCTCCATTCGAGACCGAGATACGCCGACGCATCTGGTTCCAGTTGAAGGCCCATGACTCTCGAGCTGCGGAGTTGTGTGGTCTCGCGAAGTACCGAGATCCTGACATCGGCCCTGAGCGAGCTGAATGGCCTACCAATCTCAACGACGATCAGCTGTACCCTGGCATGTCTGAGCTGCCCTCAGACTCCAACGGACTGAAGGACGTTGTCTTCATTGTAACAAGATGTGAAATGGGAAAGTTCGCTGCGCCACGCATTGCAGCATTGCGCCAAGAAGGAATGGACCCCAGGCAGATGAACCTTGACCATTCAGCAAAGAGCAAGAACGCCCGTGAAAGCTTGATTCAAGAGCTCGAGGACACTATCGAAACGAAACATCTTCGCTATTGTGACCCATCTCAGCCTTTACATCTTGTTGCAATGGTTGTGGCTCGGTATGGTCTCAATGTAGCCCGCTTTCTGATACACCATCCACGGAACTGGGGTACATTGGAGAAAACACCTCTCGAGGAGCGCAAGAAGATCTGGGAAGTTTGTCTCAAGCTTCTCGAGCAACAGATCATGTTGCAGACCAACCCCGTCATCAAGCGCTTTGCGTGGAGCGCGTCCTACTTTCGGCAATGGCATGCTTTGATTCATCTGCTAGATACTCTTCGCGCTCATCCCAACCTGATCGACACTGATCGAGCCTGGCGACTCATCGGCGAAACGTACGACAACAATCCGGAGATGCTCGAGGACATGAGAAAGCCCATTCATGCAGCTGTGGGCAACCTATGCTTGAAGGCCTACGATGATCATGACGCACTGATGCGCTCGAAAGATGGCCATTCACGTTCGCTACCTGGGTTCATAGCACGTCTACGACACCAACGCGATAGCGCAAGGTTGCGACGCCAGAAACGCACTGCAAATAGTGGCCATGCGGCTGCATCTACTGATCAAACCGGGGCTGACATATACCGAATCGACGGCGAGGCAATAGCCGATAACTCGAATGTGTTGATAAATTCAACTCAGGCTTCTTTTCAGGCACCTTTCGGACCTACGCAAGACACTTCATTTGACAGCACTATTCCCTTCACCTTCTCAAGCGGTGCGGACGGCACAATCTTCGACAGCATGGATTTGGACGGCGCGCATGAGTTTATGACTACCGACTACATCATGGACGATACATCGCTGGAGTTTATAGACTGGGGCAAGTTGGACAATTGGCTCGCTCACGCTTCCTGACGGGGGAATACAGTTGTTCCGCCCTGCTCCATGATTGCGCTCATGAAGAGCCCACACACACATAATAGCCTAGCCATAGACTAGCGCAGCTGTTTCCTACAGCAGGATTCCATTTATAACTACAGATGCATACTTAGCTGCTGAAACATGTTGATTGGTAAGATGGTGTGGACTTACAAGTCGGCGAGGGTGATTCTGTACTGATCGGCTATCTTCTGGCAAATGTCGCCTGAGCTCACAAGGTGCCATCTGTTACCTATGTCAAGCGATTTGTCAGCCTTTCTTCTCACTCATTTTCCACGGTGTTTCGCAATACTAACATCTCGTTGATGCACCTGATTGAACGGGAGTCGGGGTTGCTGGGCCGCTAGGCGGCTTCGTCGTAGTAGTCGAAGCGTGCCATTCACTAGCGGGAAACTCCCATGTGATTACTGGTGGCAGCAATGTGAAGCGAGAGGATGTCGACGATGATTGTATCGTTTTTGTTGGCGTTGGTTGGGAAGTAACCGGTAGATCGCCCTGCCACTCCACGCAGTATTCAGTATTAGCTACGAGCGAGCTGCATGGTGCTCCAGGGTTGAAGCTGATGAATTCAGCTTCAGTGATGCTCCATTCTTCCGCTAGGGATCTGCAGGTGTCACCTTGCTTGGCAGGCCAGGTGAACGAGCAATCCCTTGGACGAAGAACGCGTGCGTTGATGCAGGATGCACCAAGATAAGCAAGGAGAATGTAAAGGGTATACTGGAGGGCGAGCATTATCAGGGTCTCAATGCGTCGCGTGTAATATGGACTTAAACTAATGATCTTGAGGGAAACAGCTCTTGGATTTGCAACGATTTAAACTGTGCTTGACGATGAACGCGTTGTGCTAACCGGCTGCTTTGCACAGGATTACAACAAGAGTCTTGGACGACGGACCGACACCCCGATATTGTATAGGATCTCAATGACAGTAGCCTAAATTTGGAAGGGGTGCAGTTCGTCATGGATCGTAATGCTAGGATCGTGGCCTGCGTCTTTGTGAGTGTTGTCATGTACAGCCGGATCAATCTGACTACGCCGCAATGTCATACGGCAATCGGCTATGCAGTTTTCTGCAGCTTTATATTGCCTTCTTTCTCGGGCCGCACCGAGATCTGCAGATCTTGGAGTGTGATAGTCGGCGCGTATGCGCGTTCAATTAAAGGTGCGGCGTCTTGCCTCCCCCGAGGTCGTGTACAGCCCGTATCTTGCTAAAATGAAAGAATGCGACTTGGCCTCTTGAGGTCCGGAGCACATTAACACGCACACAAAACAAATGTTCCTGATGATATATCCATATTATCCAGTTTTATTTACAGCACAGAATTGACGGCGGCTGCAGCTATCCCCGCGCCTGCAACTACTATCACTTTGACACTCTCCACTCGGCCGATGACACTGTTCGGCAACGCAGTCTTAGCCGTGACCTGAGCTTGGGTCGGAACAATAGTCGAGGAGGTAGAAGTCGTTTCTAGAGAGCCAGCTTTTGATTGCGTGGTGATCGAAGGTTTGTTGATTTCATGCTCCTTGGCGTAGCATGCGGCAAACGCAATGGTGTCATTCAGCCAGACTTCGCCCCAAAGAACCTCGCGCATTTCTCTGATCCAAGTATTGGGGCAGCGTTGAGCGACTTCCACGGCTCGCGAGCTATGTGCAGCCCACCAGGAAGATGCAACGCTGCCATGGGAGGAATAGGCTGGAAGGACTTCTCGAGGCGCAGCGGTAGTGAAACCGCACCAACTAGTCCATTCTGGAAAGGGACACGTTGGTACAACCGTAGCCGAAGGCGAGATGGTAAGTGTGCAGTCCTCGATTAGCTTGTCTCCGTAGATGAGGAGCTCATCCAGAAGGGCTCCAGTGGGCTTCGGTACATCGAAATATTGCGGTATGTTTTCCGTCGCGCAGTACCAAGGATCTCGGGTAATAGTTGGCTCTGCGATAGGCATGAGTGTCAGCTGGGCTGCAGACGCTGTAACAGCAGCTTTGAATAGAGGGGCGCCTGTGGAAAGAGCCATTGTAAGCAAGATGTCGCTGAGGGTTGATATGCCAAAGTGAGGTTATCTATGAAGTAATGTGACAGCGCAGAAATCTGTGGCATATGTCTCCATTATATCATCAATGACCAAGAGCCATATTGATCGATAAGGGGCTTTACGCCATGACCAACTGCATCCCTTGCACACATTTCGACTCGGCTAAAAGGAAGCCTCGTGTTGTTCTAGTGTGATAGGTCGGTCCCTGCTCTCGACGGCTTTGGGAAACGTTGGTAGTCTGGATTGATTCGTCCTGGCTTGAAGCTTGCTATCTACTACAGAGCTCGACGTCCCAGCTAAGGGATACGAAACCTTCACACAACTCTCTTGATAGCAGTGACTCACTTCCTACTGAGCAAAGTGGGGATAGTGCTCCTGCAGGGCTGCTTGTACTGCGGCGAGACATTCAGTCTTTCGAAAGCGCGTCATATCCGGCCAACCATGCTCACGATAGACCTTTTGAAGCATGGTTACAAGTCCGTTATCCTCGGGCCCCAGAGTCGCATAAATATCGATGACTGACTTTGGGCCAATGGGGATGAAGGAGAGTTGTCGAAATTGATCTTTGAGCATGCCGAAGAAGTCAGTGATAGCCCAGCATTCCGATTCGGCCCGCCATTGAGCCTCGTTTTCTGGCGCGTAGTCGTACGGGTCGTCTTCAATTGGTTCGCGTGACGAATTGTGCCTGATCTCGTAGGGGCATTCAACCCAGTAGACAACGCCCAACTCCGTGTCGAGCAGAAAGTCTGCATTGTCTCGTCCGCCAGTAGTTAAACCGATGACGTGGGCAGGTACTTCATCAGTAAAGCTGGCGCCTTCTGAGCAAAGCTTAAGTGTTTCACCCTTAACACCACCTTGAAGCACGCGTCCCAGATCCCTCTGCCAGTCGGAAAAGGCACACCATGGGGCGGCTTGGGGATTTTCGAAGCTGCTGCCGGACCCACGGATGTATGGAAGATGTTGGAGAAGAGAAATTACTTCGTCCGTCTTGTTGAGACCTCGCATGGAGTCGGGAGTGACGGAGGGCCAGCCTCCTTTGGGTGGTTCGATAATGACGCTTTCATCCATGTACATCCGGGTAAGAAACTGGTAGTAATCGCGGACTGCAGCGATGCACGCCTCGCGTGAGTAGATGATGTCTTCGAGTGCAGGCATATTCTCGTAATTGTGGAAGGAGAATACTGCTGAGAACTTGTGTTGACGAGATGTGTGGTTCATATAATCGCTTGTTTACCCGGCTCGGCGTACATGACCTTGAGGTATTCATTTACCGATCTGCCGGGGCGAAACACCTGACGACCGTACATTGATGCAATCAAGCGGTTCGCGGCTGTGCCACATTGCTACTGGGATAGAACGAGTAGGCAAGATCTGCATAGCGGTTGTTTCCAAGAGTGTATGTGGTGCTTCACCGGGTGCGGAAGTCGAGTTCTTTCTGCACCGTCCTTACAGCAGTGTATCGTGAAGTCATTTTCAGAATAGCACCACTCTCGCGATGGCAAGATACCTCTTCATTCTCCTTTTCTGGGGCAGCGCACGGGTACAATCCGCTATGCACCCCAACGGTACTTGGGTTAGCGAACCCCTTACTGAAGACGACGCCTCGCCGATTGACAACCCGAATACCTACTACCCCGACCAGTACGACTGCCCGCTAGCATGTGCAGACTACGCAAATACGCACAGCTGGATCACGTACTTTTCAATGGAGCGCATCCAGCGGTGTAAGGAGGCAATGCTTCTCGAATTCTCAATTTCAACGGCACTTGACGATCCTCAGACGACACCGCTGATCCGCAGCTGCACGTTGGGCGGCGGGGACGATGAATCCATGATCGCAGAAGTCCCTGTCGAAAATCCAAAGAAGGCAGGAGATCTTTATCGAGCGAGCCTCCAGTCTGCACCGGCATGCGTTCTGGATGGCATGGAAACTTCGCACGACATGCAGATGACAACTCGCGGCGACGGGCAGGAACGGTCTGGCGATATTGTGGGGCTGCTCATGGGCATGGGGATGTATTTTGCTGCGCGCGATAATTGTGACGAGAGGTTCCTGTTTGCGCGTCACAAGGATTTGGCTGTCGGCGTTCATGTAGGAGACGACCTGGCAAAGCTAACGGCGGAGTCCGCCCTTAGCTTGCTGGCAGATCACGTGCGATCCAACGGAGCTCGGACGCCGGACCAGATCGTCGTCGAGCTCTGCGGTGGCGGACGCCAGGCACGAAACGCGTTCGGCCTCATTATCGACAGCACGGGTGATCTTATTCAGGTCCAGAAAGCAGTATTAGGGTGGAGCAATGGAAACTGCACACTACCGGACGGGCAGAGCGTCGTCGGTCATCTCCCAGATGTGCGAGTAGTGGATCTTCATGGCGTCAACAATACGATCAATGCCAACAGTACCAGCAATGTCGCCAATAACAACGCTACCCATGTTCGCAAACGCGCCGTGCCGCAAGCGGGATCCGATGGCGTCTGCGCAACACACCTTATCCAGAATGGAGATACTTGCGATCGATTGTCCGGACAGTATGGCGTGACTATCGGCAACCTTGAGAAGTGGAACAGAGGAAAGACTTGGGCATGGACTGAGTGCAAGGATATGCTGATCGGCTACAGCATGTGCGTCAGTGACGGCTTGCCCCCCATGCCACCGCCACAGCAAGGTACCCAGTGTGGGCCCCTGGTTCCTGGCACGCAACGACCGACGAATAAAGCATCACTAGCTGATCTGAATCCGTGCCCTTTGAAGGCATGCTGTAGCAATTGGGGCTTTTGCGGTGTATTTCCAGCCCATTGCGACATCCATGCGCCCAAGGATGGTGCGCCAGGCAGCAAAGACAAGAATTTCCAGAACACCTGCGTCTCGAATTGCGGCAATCAACTGATGGACAATTCTCCAGCCCCGAACGAATTTATGCGAATCGGCTACTATGAAGCATATAATCACAAACGTCCTTGTCTGCGGCTCAACGCTCGAGATGCAAACGTCGGCGAATCCTACACGCACATCCACTGGGCGTTTGCCGACATCAACCCCGATAACTGGAAGCCCGCTATTCGAGACGGCTCTGACCACTGGAAAGACTTCAAGGAACTGAGAAATGTCAAGCGCATTGTTTCATTTGGCGGCTGGGCGGCTTCGACAGAACCGGCAACGTACAACATTATTCGCGGAGCTATCATAGACCACCGGGATGAGTTCGCTAGGAATCTCGCCCAATTCGCCAAAGTGGAAGGCATTGATGGCATAGACATCGATTGGGAATACCCGGGTGTAAGTTTTGCTATCATTGCCTGCTTCTAGCATACATTAATTACCAGCTCATAGGCTCCTGATATACTAGTCGATGGCCGACCTATTGGCCGACCAAGCGATGGCCTGAACTATCTCAAGTTCCTTACGGTCTTGAAGAAAGAATTGGAACCTGGCGTCTCTGTATCCATCGCCGCACCGGCCTCGTACTGGTATCTTAAAGCTTTTCCTATCGACAGGATTGCGGTAGTCGTTGACTACATTGTTTACATGACGTACGATCTGCATGGCCAATGGGATGCTGGTAATCCCAATGCATATGACTCATGTCCTTCCGGTCGATGTATCCGGAGCCATGGTGGGTGCTATAACGACTCAGACGAGATCGAACGGTCACGCTGATTCAAATGACAGTCAACTACACGGAGACGCGAAATTCTCTAGCTATGAGTATGTTCGATCCGTGAAGGAATGCCGCGCTGTATGCACTTTGATTAACGACGAAAGCAGTCTCAAAAGCAGGCGTCCCACATAACAAGATTTTTGTGGGAGAAGCAAGTTACGGCAGATCTTTTCATATGGCCCAGGATGGCTGTTGGGGCCCGAAATGTGAATTTACAGGATCGAGAGACAGCTCCGACGCTACTCCGGGCCGATGCACTAGAACTCCAGGCTACCTCGCTTACGCCGAGATCACTGAGCTTATCACCAGCCCTGGTGAGAACTCGTCTCGAACCTTTTTCGATAAGCAGTCGCGTACCGATGTCATGGTGTACAATGGTGAGTCACGCTGTTGGTGAGCCTTCTTGGTCTTGCGCTACAGCCATCGTCGGAGCTTGCACTTGGCCTTTGCTAATATGAATTCGCTTTTCAGGTGACTACATCAGTTATATGACTCCTGAAACCAAGGACGCCCGACGTGCCGAATGGAAGTCATTCAACTTTGCTGGGACTGTTGACTGGGCCGTTGATCTCCAGGAGTTCACTGCGCAGGAAATGAGCATTCTACCTCCACGACCCGAGAGTGGTCAAGGCTGTACCTCCGGGGAAGGTATCACTTTAGAGTCAGGGGACCTTTGCGACTTCACCTGTCTCTATGGATTTTGTCCTGAGCGTGTATGCATATGCTACACAACTGGAAAGCTTCTAGATCTGCCAACCGAGAAGACTGGACTCAACATCGTAGCTTGGGACGAGTTCAATGTGGAACTAAACCGACTTTGCATGTTTGCTTGCAAATACAACTATTGTCCCGAGGAGATATGTACCACTCCTATCGATGGGCCCGATGAAAGTGGACCACACGGATTTGGGGAGGACTTTGGCAACGGCGAAGATCCCAACTATTACAACAAAACCGCAGCGAAACTCGCCAATGATCAGACATGCATCATATACAGGGACCCAGCATACAACGAAGTGAGCAAGACTCAGTGCAAACCCATTTGTCAGGACGCACTAGATGAGGCGGCAGAGGAGGGGAGAACATCTAATTACGGGTGTATCGGATTCTACCCTATGGAAACCAGTATTCCTTGGGAGAGAGGACCGGGAGCGGGTAGTCAGTTGATTGCGCCTGGGAAATGTTTGTGCGACAACTTCCTCCTCAACGAACTGGCAGACACTGTTCTGGAAGCAATGCCCTTGATCGCTCAGGTATGCTATCCAATACCCGTTAATCGCGGTTAGGAAACGTTTTGCCATCTGACGATTATCTAGATTAGTTGCTATGTGCTCATGTCAAGTATCAAACTCGTAATCGACGTCGGAGTTCAATTCATACCCGTAGTGGGCAAGATTCTCGATATTGGTCTGGGTAAGTCGGCTCATTTGCTTAGCGTCTTACTGCGTCTCACACGTCACACCAATACTAACTCAATCTCACAGATATGGCTACAACAGCCGCACAGATGGCTGCGTATCTGTATCCCGAAGAAGAAGACCCCGAGGGCGCATTCTCATGGTGGCTGAGTCCATGCGGGGGTACGGACCTGGTGCCGCAAGATATCAAGAAAGCTTTCGAAATCTTGAGCACCGTAGCCAACGGTGTATCGAGCTTCAAGCCGCCAAAGCGCATGAAACGTCACAGTCGCAAAAAGGGTGACGACGGTAACCCAATCGATAGCTCAAGGCCCCGTCGACCAGGTGGAGGTGGCAGCGGTAATGGCGTTACTAAGCCAGCAAAGAAATGCAGAGTACCCGCAGGGAAATCAACACTTCGTCTCGGCGAGGCCTCCAACACACTTCGCAAGCAGTCCTGCGTCAACGGTTCAACAAGAAAAGAGAACATGGTCATTACCTCGCTCGCTTTTGCGCCAAATGCGGTGCCAGTGCAATTCAAAGCGACTTGTTCGCAAGAGAATTCACAAGCTTGTTACCATTACAGCTCAGTCATTCGAAATCATCCGTCATGGTCGACTCTGACCTGCGATGAGGAAAACGCTACTATCAAGCACCGGCTCGACGCGAAAGCCACCGATGTCTGGACCTACCAGCATAATGGTCGGGGATGGGTAAAGCCGGACGATTGCGATCGAGATGAGTACCCACCCGCCTATCTATTGCACAGAAACCATCCCGCCTTTTTGAAAGCCGGCGTCGATGCTCAAGGCCAGATGGTACGCGTTTTGCCAGCCGATGAGAACAGACGCGCTGGCAGGATGTGGAAGGGTGCATGCTTCAAGCCTCCGCTTGAAGATCTGACGAACTCCGAATTCGTGGCAAAAGCCAACGCTGCCCCCAACAAGGTATACGCGATGAAGAAGGGGTATCAGTACACTGAAGTACACGTGACCGTCACTCAGCGCCCTGAGTTTACGATTGCTGCATGGGGCCATGCTGCTGCCCCACTCAACGAAGGTTTGGACCAGAACAGCTGTTGGCCTTCAAACATTGCAGCTTCTGATCCTGGCTTTGTACTGTTGACTTATGATCCTTGGTACTCGAACATGGCTCCTCCTTACAATTACAAGAAACCGTACGTTCAGGGTGCCAACGGATCTTAGTCGTATGGCGAGACCAGCTTCGTTACGCTGCGAGCATTCCATCCCAGATTGATAAATTTGAGGTTGAAAGAAGATAGAATCGATCACGTTTGATATACATGGATCTTCATAACGTATGCTTGTTTGTTTCCGAGTGTTGTTTAGAGCTCGGCACAGATTCGGGAGATGACGGCTGAGCTCCGGATTCATGCTCGTTTCGTACTAGCGCTCCTTGCTTCGGGACCGAACCCAATCCGTCGGCTCGCTTGGCAAACCGTTTATTTCGGCAATCGATGTCGCGATGTCACAAATCCGTTGGCTCGTACGAAGTCCATTCAGTTCCAAAACTGCTTTGCGATGATCAATCACATATTGGGCAGAGAGACTTTTGATCTGACTTCTTGGGTTCTGATTGAACCAAACCCGATATCAGCCGATGGAGTGTGCTGTGGTGGTTTAATGCCACCTGGGTATCTCGTTGACGTCTCGGCACTAACTTAACACCAGCAACATCCTGATATGCGCCTGCCTTAGCAGAGCTTGTACTTAGAGTCGAATGAAGCTAAGCTAATATATGGATTGCTTGCCGTGCGCTTGCGGGCGGTATTGCTTTCGGTTGTCAGACGGCGGTTCAGGTCGGAACTGTGCAAGGCTGGCTAGACTGTGCTCACCTCAGCTTTGTGACCTCACTAACACAATGCATAGACTTCCCAGACAGGTTGTACGAGACGGAGGTCTCAGCTTCTGTGTTCAATCCGGTTCTCGCGGTTCTGATGACTGCGATGCGGTGAGTTCCGGACCTATTCGATAGCATAAAACCATCAACTCAGCCACTTGGAACGAGAACCAACACATTCATACATCTCGGATCTACACTCCCCTTGCTCTTTTTTCTATGTCAAAGATGCGTTATCAACTTTGTCTCTTGCTCTGCGCCAGTAGTTCTGCTCACGGAGCAGTCCTCTCACCCTGGCGCCGGAACATGTCGCCCTTCTCGATTGGCACCAGCACCAGCTCCAGTACGCGTGCATCTGCGCTTGCAGAGAAGCGAGCTGGCTGGGAATACGGTCCCTCAATCGCCGGAAACACGGCATTTTATCCAGCTGGCAGTATTGGTGGACCAGTTGCGAAGGCGCAAGGGGACCGCTTCGAAGTTTTCTCTGACGAATTGAGCACCAAGAACGATGAGGATGCTAAAGCTGCCCAAGCGTCCATTGTGGCAGTAAGTACTTTTGAAACATGACTGCGGAGATCTATGCTTAACATACCTCAGGCTGGCGGCTTGAACACTTTGGATGACTATGCGAAGCTGTATAACGGCCTGTGGAAAGAAAGCGCGCCCAAAGGTCCATACCCAGGACTATTGACTAATTACACAAACGACCTACTCTTTTCGATGACCCAGCTCTCAGACAACCCGTACAAGATCGTGCGGGTGTCAAAGAACGCGAAGCTTCCTTTCTCCGTCTCCAACGCCGACGCGATATCGGGGCAGACACTGGAAGCACTCCAATCCTCCGGCCGTCTCTTCCTTGCCGATTACCTGGACCAAAAGCATCAGCCACATTCCGCTGGCAAATATGGCGCTGCCTGCCAAGCGTATTTTTACATCGACCCCAAGTCTCAGAACTTCCTGCCGCTCGCCATCAAATCGAATGCAGAAGGCTCTGACCTCGTCTATACCCCTCACGACTCGCCTAACGATTGGTTGCTGGCCAAGATGATGTTCAATCTAAACAGCTTCTGGTACGCGCAATGGTATCATCTCGGTGCCACGCACGCGGTCAGTGAGATTGTGTACCTGAGCGCTATCCGGACGTTGAGTGAGGAACATCCTGTCATGGCTATACTGCATCGATGTAAGCTTCAACCCCTCTTCCACGATTGCAACTCCTAACTCAGAGCGGTAATGTAGTGATGAAAGATGCTTGGGCGTTCCGAGTCATAGGCCGCGACAGCCTGATAAACCCCGGTGGCCCCATCGATCAACTCTTCCCATGGTCCGGCAGTCAAGCCGGTAACTACACCGACTCACTGTATCATTCCGGCGAATCCAGCGCTTTCCAGGCGAACTTTTTCGAAACCAACTTGAAAAGGCGAGGGCTGATTGATTCTAGCTTCGGTCCCGAGATCAAATCGTTTCCTTTCTACCGGGATGCCTCCGTTATCCATGCTGCCATTCGCCGGTTCATGACCACCTTCGTAGAATCGTATTACAAGGATGCAAGCGCAATCATAAAAGACAATGAGCTCCAGGCATGGATCCACGAAGCAGTACCAGCTCAGATAGAGGACTTTCCATCCACTCTGAAAGACAAGCAAACTCTCATCGACATCCTGACCCATATGGCCCACCTGGTATCAGTAGTTCACGGCACGCTCAACACAAACGCTCTCGCCGCCTCAACCGGCGTTCTTCCTTTCCACCCACTCGCTTTCTACTCGCCGTTGCCAACTGCGAAAGGTGTCACCGACATTATGCCTTTCATGCCACAAGTTGAAGCTGCTATCGGCCAGATTAGTCTAGTCGTAGATTTCAACCGGCCTACATTCGTCAACAGCGAGGAGACGACATCACACATGTTCGACAACACAACAATGCTAGCCAGGATGGGTAAAGAAGTAGAGAACGCGGAGCGGGATTTTCGATTCGCGATGAAGAACTTTAGTGCGGTGATCAGAGACAGGAAGTTTGGGGAGGACGGCCTGTGCGGGGACATGCCTTACTGTTGGACTACTCTGGACCCGGATACAGCTAGCTATTGGTTAACTATCTAGAGAAATAGTGTCGCAGAGCAGAGCTTACCTAGGTAGATACAACAGGTGCTTGGCAGCTCTCTCTCACACACACATACACATTCCCTTATGTATATCTATATCCACTACGTATAAATTAATGCTCAGACTCGTGACTTCCTACGTGGTCGTATGCTGGATCCACCTGCCCATCCACTCCTCATTGACCCGCTTCGCCTCATTCACCAAACCCAACTCAAGCAGTAGCTGCACAGAACCCCTAACAGCCGAATGCAGCGACGAACTGACCCAAGCGTGCGTGGGCGCAGTGTGTTCTCCAATGAAGATAGTGTTGTGCTCCGTCTGATGGTATGCCGGAATATACAATCTATGCTGCATCACATCCGGACGGCACCAAGCAGTCCCAGTATGTTCATCCTGCAGCCAACACAGCTTCTCATAGTCGCCCGTGTACAGCTCTCTCGCTTGCTCGCCATGCACGCTGACAACAGCATCCAACACAGTCTGAACGTATTCCTCGTCCGAGAAGCTCGTGAACTCGTCACTCCAGTGGCCACCCCGGTAATGCATAATCAAGCCCGGGCGAGACTCGTTGAGGCCGTAGACGGGGTAGTAAAGAGCGCCGACGGCCGCACTGGGTGGCGTAGAGTACCCGCCGAAGATGGGGCGATCGCCTTTCTCCCAGAAACGTTCTTTGAAGAGTAGCGCGACTTTGCAGGCGGATTTGAAACGGAGGCCAGCTTCGCTGATTGCGCGACCGAGTACGGAGGAGAATTTCGGAAGCGACATGAAGCGTGTCATGGTGAATGGCACTGCCATGATTGTGTATTCGTACTCTTTCGACTCATATGTTCGGTTGCTGACGCTGGGATACCACGACAGTTTCGTGCGTGTGTGACCTTCGGCATCTTCGACAGCCACCAGTTTTCTGATCTTACGGTTGAGGGTAAGACGGTCGCTGACATGAGGAAGGAACGCATCAGACAGTCTGTTGAAGCCGCCGTCTACACACTTCCACTCAGTCATGCCCAATGCGTCCGGTCCGCCATCTTGCGCAAGGTTCGAGTTGTGCACCAACTCGTCCCAGAAGACGTCGTAGTCGCTCGCTGTCCAGATGGCGTCTGTGACGTTTTCGCTGGCACCGAAGACGTTGCGCATCATGGCTTGTTCGCTCCAGTCGTCGAGACCTTGATCCATGGCTTTCTTGTGTTCGCGCCACACGTCGCGTTGCACGGCCTTGAGTCTCTCCTTTGACTTCAGAAGCTCGTTCATGCGCTGCTTCGTTTCGGTGTACTCCTGCGTGTCCAGTGGTGCTGGTCGCCCAAGAGACGAGTTTGCTTGTATCTCCGCTCTCGTAGGAGGTTGTCCATTTGGAAGCCTGCCAGTTCCTAGGCCGAGGATCTCATTTGGATGATGCTGGACCCATGGGATGAAGTCGACTTTGAATTGCGGATCGTTTGCGTTCATCTCATTGAGCATCTCGGCCAATTGGAAGACCATTTGATGGTCGCTGTATTCAATGGTTTCTCCATCCTTGTATGTAATCGAGTGAGGAAGGCGCATAGGACCCATCTCCGCCCATTCTTGCGTTCCACCAACGTACTTGGTTCGGAACCGTCCTCCGACTCGGTCGCTTGCCTCAATAATCTCCCAGTTGTGCACACCGACGCTGTCAAGCATCAGTGCCGTAGCGAGACCAGAGATTCCGGCGCCGACTATCGCGATGGTCGCATTCTTCTTAGATGGAGAGGCAGAGGAGGTTGTGTTAATCGCCGCGACACCGTCGAACCATGCTCCAAGAGCGTCGAAGTCTTGTAGCAATGGTTTGGTGCGACTGACGTCCCTAGTCTCTGAAGATGTTCTGGGGCTCGAAATGGGGTTGCTGAGCACCAGCCCTGTAGAAGCTAATGTAATGGTTAGAGACCTCAACATCCTCGCCGCTGGATACATCATGTTTGATAACGCTTTCGACTTGAAGAACTCAAACCGAAGGATGAACAAGCCGTGTTTGCAATGCCTTGATCGTTTAAGCTTAATATAAGACACCAATTACCCGCGAACCATGATGGCCAACCACCATGCACCTCCACTTGGCGAATGGACACATCGCGCATCTTGACGCAAAACAGCAATTCAAAATGTACGATCAACATTAGAGTGCCATCACGGTAGGCAAAAAACCGTGTCGCATTCCAGCTCTGACACAACATCCCAATCAAGCGAAGCTGGGCGGTCATACTAAGCGACCCGAACGCGCGCCCCGAAAAGCTCTCAACATGTTGTATACAGCAGCGTCTTTTGTCTTCCACTCTTGATCACGCGCTGCATCTTCGGAGTCGCCAAACGTGTATTTCATCTCCTCGTTCTGTTTAGTCGCCTCTTGGTTCTGGTTTATGTTTCTCGGCGGTACTTCGTACCGAGTTGGGGTGAGGACGTGGACTTGCAGAGTGGTGCTTTCGACATCGTGGACCAATTGTGCTATTAGCTGTCAGATCTTGTAATGCACATGGGATGAGGCGAACGGGTGCATGCGAGAAGATGGGCGGTCTTACTCCATGGGATACCCAGCTCTTCGGCCTCAATCCGGGCTTTACTCTGTGCGATGCAGCGCTCTTGCAGCTCCCATTCTTCTAAGGACTGTACAGGTGTGACGCCCACCTTGGTCTTAGTAAGATCATCGAGGGATGGCGAATGCAGACGCTGCGTTACAGCTCTAGAGATGAGTTGTCGGTATTGTACTGCTTCCTGATCGTTGTTTGTCTTGTCTTTGCGAGCTCTCGTATGTACGTCGGTGTTGAAGTTTGAGGGTTTGGCTGAGCTCAGTTCTAGGAGTGTGATCGCCATGACGCAGCGTCTGAAATAGACGAATGTAAAGTAAGGACATGGGGTCGTACAGAGAGAGGGTGAGTATATAGCTGCTGGTGTCAAAACATTGGCGTTTGTGGTATGATGAACTCGACGCGCCGTGTGCTCATTATTCAATGATGCGATGGCACCATCGTATGCATGAGTATCCAGGTAGCTAGTACTTTCTCATTTTCTTCACCATCCTCCTCTTCACGTATAGGCAGCACATGCTTCGTATTTACACCATTGTCTCGTTCTAAGACAACTCCGTCCAGTATGTACAGCGTCCTCGGAACTCTACAAGCTCAGCCCATCAGCCAGTACTGCACCGTACCAAATCATAGCCCCCAATCCCACCATGTTGACCAGACTGCTAACACCGTGCAGAATGCCGAACTGCTTGTTCAACGCCTGCATCTCCTTGCTATGTGGCCCAGCATCATAGCTCTTCTTCCCATCCCTCGTCTCCTGATGTTTCCTCAGACCCATGACTTCCGTTGTCTTGGGTCCAACGTAGACCCAGTTGACCAGCGCGGTGAGAAACATGGTGGTGTGCAGCCAGGAACTCAGGTTATCGGTCGCTGTCGGCGGAATCGGCGAGGAAGAGAGGAACGGTAGTAAGGACGATGCTCCGCCGCGTGGGTACGTAAGCAGCATGACGACGGGAGTGAGGGTTTGTAGGGTGAAGTAGACGGGGAAGGTGTGCTTCTGGAGCGTGGAGAATTGAGGGCGAGGGAGGACGCGGAAGGCTACGATGCCGGAGACGAAGGATTGGAAGAGCGTTGAGCCCAGGAGGGTGCCATAGCTATGCTTCTGTTAGAGGATCTTGAGCGTCGAGTGTTGGTAATGCATCTTCATACCTGAGCAGATGGTATGTCGCCGGATTCTTGAATGAGGAGAATGACATGTTGGCGATTGAGTCTTGTCGGTCAATCGTGTGGTCAATGAGGAGGAGAGTAGGAGTGAGCAGGAAACTCGGCGTTTCAGAGCGCCACGAGCAGCAGCCTCGGCAAATGATGATCTCACGACATGTCGGAGCCATGCGGTGACCCTGCATGCTACCCGTGCGCTATTCCATCTGCAGCCTGGCGTGTCTGCCCCACTAAAGATTTCGCGAGCCCCTCCATTGCGCATCATGGCGTCGTGCGACAATCCTTCAGCCCGTCCAAGGAAGGATCCCAGCCCGCGCCCGACCAGACCGCCGTCCACCGACCCTCACGATGCTACTTCCTTCGCTGATCAACCTCCGCCGCCCAGCCAACACGCCACTCGAGCCTGAAGACATCTTTGGGTCCTCCCTCGGCGGCATCTTCACCGACGATACACAGAACCAGCATGGCGATGACCCGAGCACGGTTATTCTGTATCGCAATGCCAAGTTCGGAGAGCAGGAGATCAGGGTCGCGGATGTAAATGGCGAAGAAGAAAGAAGAAAGTTCGCGCACTACCTATGGAATGCCGGCGTCATGATGGCAGAACTGGTCAGCGGGCGAGTGGAGGGCGGCGATCTGGGTGCAAGTGGCAAGGGTCTACACGAAGATGAGGAGGGCTGGAGAGATGGCGAATGGTGGACAGACAAGGAAGAGGAGAAGAAGTGGAGTGTCGAGGGCGAGACGGTGTTGGAGTTGGGCGCAGGTGGGTCGGGCTGAGTAAAGAGAGGTGTTGAAGAAAGTACTGATGGACTATTTGCTCGTAGGCGTAGGATTGGGCGGGATTCTGAGTACATTGGCAGGAGCGAAAGAGGTACGTCCATGCTCAGACTCGGATTGTGCATAGGCTCCAACTGACAACCCGCCAGGTTGCCATCACCGACTATCCTGCAGCTCCCATCCTCGATACCCTCAGAACGAACGTCGCGAAGAACGTCCCCGCGCATCTCAAGCCCAACGTGACCGTCGAAGGTCATCAATGGGGCTCCATAAGCACACTCTTCGAGACCTCGCACGCGAACCGCTACACGCGCATTCTCGCTGCAGATTGTCTCTGGATGCCGTGGGAGCACGAGAGCCTGGCCAAGTCGATGCTGCACTTCCTCTCCGACGACCCATCTGCACGTATATATTGTATCGCAGGCTTCCATACAGGACGCGCCAAAGTCGCACCGTTCTTCGAGGAAGTTGTGCCTGGGCAAGGGCTCGAGATCGAGGAGATATACGAGATGGACGTCAACGGGCAGCGGCGGTCATGGGCGAAAGAGCGCGACGGCGGTACGGAGAATATGGGCGAGCGGAAGAAGTGGCTCGTTCTCGCGCGGATACGGCGGGCTGTTCGGCAGTAGTAATGGTAGTAGTTCTTCCTCTCAGCAGACGAGCGCTGAATCACACCCTCTTGAAGCACAGCGTAACAACACTGCTGCCCGTCTTGCCTCCAAAGGTGAAGCTGGGATATTTGACTTTGCCCTCAAACTCCAGCTCTCCGCCTCCAAACCAGCCCTTGAGCTCTTCTTCTGTCCAATTGCAGCTTGTGATGAGGAACCTGCCGCCCTTCTTCATGAGGGGCTCGACCTTTTCCCTGTAACCCTCGCAGATCCTACGACCTTGCGCGTCTTCTTCTTGCGACAAGCAGATGGCGTCAAATGTGCCCTTGTCCAGTACGACATCGAAGCCAGCGCCTAGCCACGCGCCTGGTGCCTGCGACAGAATATCCCACTCATGGAACGCAATGTCCTTGTAAGAGTCATCCTTCGCGTCGCGAATCGACGTGGCAAGCGTGACGCTCTGCGCAGAGTAATCGACGCCAACCATCTCGCCGTTCCACTCGTCCTCGCGCAGCGCAAAGAGCAAATGCCCATTTCCCGTTCCCAGGTCCAGGAACCGCGCCGCGTTGTGGTCGTCCCCGTCGTCCTCTTTGTGTATGTGGCCCTCGTCGCTGAGGTCTTCAAGGAAAGACAGCATGCGCTCCTCGGCGCCCGCGTCGCTGAACCATATCGTGCCTTCGTCGTCGGCGTTTGCGGCAAAGTTTTGGCGTTCGGTGTTGTAGGCGGCGTCCCAGTAGGATTTCGTGCCCAGTTCGCTGGGGTCGAGGTGCGTGGGTGCGGTCATTGAGTGAGGGTTCGAGGAGGAAAGAGCGACCGCAGCAAGTGTAGGAGTGTAGGAGACGTGGGAGATGCGACGTCGTGGTAGAAAGTTGATTATGTTTTTGGAGGGGCAGATCTTTGGTTCCTGGCTAGACGCTCGCGCATTTCGCTGCAAGCGAGGCGGGCCGCCCTTGCAATGACACAGCATGTCAATTATCATATGCCCATGGAGGTCGTTATAAGAAGAGTCGCATGGAATAGCTTGTATTCATTGGCTTCCCTGACAGAGCCTGTAATGATCGTTGTAGTTGCTCACGCGAACTACGTCACGCTACATTTGTAGTCCACTGTCCGCCGTCCAACGCTGCCCAGGTCTGCGAGTACCGTTACAACGGTCGGTCGCTGCTGCGAATGACCTCACCCTGGTAGACTGTCCGATAAACCTGACCGAAGCCTCGAGGGTCTATCTGATACCAAGCGTTAGATCGCTTCCAGAAATCCGTATCGATGCTCTTCACGATAATCTCATTACGCCACTCATGACGCCATTGTTCCAGTGTCCAGTCTCTTCGTTGGAAATAGAAGACATCTTCATCCCATAACTCACCCATATCTCCGGTGAATGTTATGTTGGTCGTGCCCTCGATTGTGCGGCGGATCGTGTCGGAGAAGCCGTCTGGCAGATGCCATGGTAAAGCCGTGGGGCCATATATGCGACCAGCTATGCTATCATATAGCCTAGACGTTGGCTGCGCGTTGCGAACGCGACATTGTTCGAGCATGGCTCCTTGCATGGCTGCAGCGTGCTTGATAACGTTCCATACCTCGAGAGCTTCTCGCGACGTACCATCGATGACGAGCTGGAAGGAGCCTTCGGGCATGCCGTGAGTGCGGAGTAGTGAGATTTCGGTGAACCATGGAACGGCAGCCTCCATGACATTGAAACCACCTATGCTGCTACGTCCTCCTCGGTAGCCATTAGGTTGATCTACAGGTAGAAGACTGTCCAACAGATTGATGTGTCTTTCAATCCTAAGGTTCGGGTTTGCTCTGCATATGGGGATGAGGCCTCTTGCGTGGCATACGGATCGCGGCCTAGACTTGAAGTCTTCGCAGATAATGAGCTTGCGCAGATTGCTTAAGCGCTTCTGGGGAATGTGACTGACTGCGCGGATGTTAACAAAATATCCCCATTTGAGTACGAAAACAGATACATGACTGGTCCTTTCAGCCCGCAACATGAAGGATGAACTTACGAAAGTCAATCGCTACCGCTGCGGCAGAGAAGTAATATTTGTTATTGCTCAGTCGGATAGGATTCGTCACATGGCACCATTCGTAGAGCAGTGTTCCATCTCCTTCTGGTTCACAGACAAGTTTTTCCATTCTGGAAAGCTCACCATCTGTGGGGATTGACCTAAAGTATCGGTGCGCCAAATCAGTATATATCACACATGCAATTCATACCCCAAGGCTCTTACCAGGGTTCCGGCCTCCATGAAAACACATCATGTAATGACCCCTCGACGAAAATATTGTTCTCGACGCTACCATGGAGATTTTCGATATGACACGTGTTGTTCCCAAACACTTGTCGTGTGAGCTGTACAAACTTTGTCGGATTTCGATTCTTCGCGATGTCCAGTATGAAGACTAGGGCGTCAATGAAGTCTTGGCTAGTGTGATCGTCCAGGCTTATGACCATATTACCGGAAAGCTTTTCCAGATTTTGCGCAACTGCTTCTTGCAGAGGCCTTCCAAAGGAATTTTCGATCACTGGGAACCGTGCCCTAGCATTAGCAAAGTCTGACTCCTCGAGTAGCTCGGCAACGCAAATCAGCATGTATTGCCTCTGGGTTTGAACCATTTCGAACACTGATAAATGAATCAGCCCTGCAATGTTATCTCATCGTCAAACGTAGCACTTACACTGAGAGAATCGCGCCACTCTAGACCGGAGTTGCTGGAATTCCGCGCCATCGTTTGCAGAGCAAAGCGTACTAAACTCGATGTTCTGGAAAGCGACATGCTTCATCTCGTTTGCAGCGATCTTGCAGGTTATCATAAGACCAAGGCCCTCAGCCTGGGCTGAAGCATCGGAGTAGCGTAGCTTTGCCGTGTCCTTGTCGTACACATATCGAGGTCGACTCTGAGCATAGTACTTGTAGATGGTATCCCGTATTTCTCGTGGAAGCCGAAAGAATGGCGACTGTGTCTGCCCGAGAATGTACTTCGTCTTCGGCGTTGTCATGAAAGGGAACATGTTCCAGTGCGCAAAGTTGTTGGGGCCTTTCTTGTTGAAAGCCATCGTGGGTGTATTGGGCCATCTAGACGTTGACTGCGACTGCCCGGCATCTTATATGGTGAGGGCGCAGTCTCCGTCATACTGCCTCTGGCCTTTTGCCGATGACTCCTAAGAAGGATGCACCATGGTACCAAACTATGGCTTGCTGGTCGTAAGCGGATTCATTGGCTGATCACCTGGGCACCATTCAGCCTCAGTGCAACGACTCATCGGCGACCGCAGGGTTGAGTGCATAGTATGAGTGACATGTCCATTAAGAGCAGAGCTGTAATTGTTGGGTGGTATTGATTCTACGCGACGCGAACGAACAGATGGATGGTCGGTCTCGCGCGGACCGGTTGGCGCTAGCCTGGTGCCCAGCCTCCTCAGGAGCACGGAGCTCCACCACCCAGGCGAAACATCGAGGCTCACTGTCCCACGACCTCTTCAGCTATGACCTCACTCGCTTGTTGAGTCTGATTTTTCAAACGTTCCTAGGTAGACCCTTCGAAACCTCAGATACGCGCGTTGCCAGCGCTCTTGCCAACCGCGCGCAATCTCAGCGATGGCTTTCGCCCGAACTCACCCTTGAACCGCGACGAAGACGAGAACGCTGTCCACGCATAATGAGCTCCGCACGCCATCCACATTCCTTGCCCTCCAGCATCACGGCCTACGTACAGCCGGTCGAAAACGCGCAACCCAATTACAGCGTACCCAAGCATTCATAGCATACCACTAACCCGGGCTCACGGCACGACGCGCCCTTGACGGAGAGAAGGCAGACCTATACATCGTGACAACGGGGCAAAGCAGCTTACAGTACAGCTGTCCTGCTGATGGTTTGCATCACAGGCTTCTTGCTCTTTGTGAAGAAGTGCACGATCTAAAGGCATTGCACATCATCATCTTCACATCGATGTTATTCATACATAACAGCCAGCCATAAGCTCTGTCAGGATGCACATTTGCCGATGAAGACACCGTATCACTAGATTTGATGGCATCATTAGTCCACCGATCTGTTACCAGAAACAATATCTCTTGTCCAACCGATTCCGTCGATGTCGCAGAACTCAGGGCCCACCCACAGGTCTCCTAACCGTTGTTACTACTCTCTTGAAGCCCGCCGGTTCGATGCTGTATTTTGGGTGTAAACGTCTCCAGAAATCCGTATTCCATTCTAGATACCCCACCCCCGCGTTCCACTCATCGTCCCAGTCCCCGAACGTGTAGTGCATGCGGCTGTTCAGGTCTAGATCAGTGGCCTTGATCTCAACTGAGCTCATACGCGCAGTCAGCTGCATGATTGCGTTCCCTTCTGCGATACTCCGAACGTTGGCGGCAAAGGTCGATGGGACGTCCCACAGCCTTCCATAACCCCCGGGCTCTCTCCCCTCGTTGGTTCTGAGGATAATACTGCGTGCGCGAAGCCATCTGGTAAAAACTTCTTGTAAGGCTGCTGTGCGCATGACAATTGTGTTCCACACCCAGTCGCCTTCTGTCACACTATTGTCGAAGACCAGTGAGAAGCTTTCGTTCGGCATACCAAGTGTCTGGAGTGAAAACGCTACTTGGATCAAGTTTATCATGGCTTCCAGACATTCTGGGCCCCAGACAGAATCACGGTCGTAGTAAAAGCTTCGCCGGTTATCTTGCCCACCCGAAGATGACGGAAGCATTGATTCGAAAAGACTGACGTGTTGAGTAATCCGAAGGTTTGCGTTCTCGCGGCAGAATGGAATAAGACCTCGAGCGTGGAGTTCTGGATTGGAAACGCTTTTGAAGTCTTCTCTTATTACGATGTTGCGCAATACCATGCGCACCTTGGGGTTCAGCGTTTCCACTGTGCGGTGTCAGAGACATTCGACTGCATCCGATATGAAACTTACAGTATTGGATAGCTACTGATGTAGCGGAGAAGTACCATTTGGTATTGTGTGCGGAATAGAATGTTTCCATGCCTCGTACAGCTTTCATCGACAATAGCGCTTCGATTGAAGTAAGTTCCTCATGGCTCGGTATACGCCACGGCTCAGGCTTCCATTCAAAGAGCGTGCACAAAGATCCCTCAGAGAAGAGATTACCACGTCTAGGCTCATATGAGACACGAAGACGCTCGGGGTACTCGTCTCCGAAGGTATTCACAGCAAGTCTTGCGAATGTAAGAGGATTTCGAGCCTTGGCGAGTTCAAGTGCAAGTTGAAGAGCTCTATCAAAGTCTCCACTGCTGAACAAAGAGTCGATACAGTCGTTCGTACTGTCCATGTTCAATCCATCTGTGCGTCCTCTGATAGCCCTGCGCAAGGGGCCATCAAACCAAAACGCAAAGTCTGGGTATTCTTGAGCGAGTCTCGCGTAGTCATCCGTCGTCAGTAATGAAGCGGTACAGACAAGCATACGGATTCTTTGGATCTGGCGACACTTTAGAACTGTGGTTGCAAAGTCAGTCTCAAATCCTACACTTGATAGGAAAATCGTGACGCCTGGGATATACGTACGGCTTTTGAAGCGTCCAGCCCGTGAGTTGAGATCCAGACACCCATCTCCATCGTTCACGGAGCACATAGCATGAAAGATGACCTCATTACGTTCGAGAGCCAAACCTTTCATCTCAGCGGCCGCGATCTTGCAAGTCTTTATCAAGTTGGTGTTGATAACTTGTGGTTTTGGCGACACGGACGAAGGATGGTCGTCCATCATTTTCCGGGTTTCCGGGTTGTAGAAGTAGCCATTCTCGGCGACGATGTAGTAATCGTAGATCTTGTCTCGAATCTCGCGTGATAATTGGAAGAATGGCGATTGTAGTTGATTCGATCTTACGTTCATGAATGGCCATTTGTTCCAGTGTGCGAAGCGTGTAGTCGGCGTGTTGTTCGACATGCCCATGAAATGCAAGTAAGTGCGGATGCTGCTATCTATATACTTACAACTGTGAGACAATGACTCTCGGGTTGACTATTCTCACATCTTGACTCACACAGTCTTGATTAGGATGAGTCGCAGCCTTGGAAGCACGCTGTTGATTTGATCGGAGTCAGGGTATCACGTGGCTCCTTGAGTGATGTATGGTTCGTCTTAGATGACTAGAGAACCTACTGATTTGGACGGTACGCTATGACTCGATCTCTCTGGGAATATTGCGCAACGACAACACATCAAGCGCCTGTCGGATGACCAATGTCCCAGTATGGCCGCCGCCGCCCGAACTCGCCCTTGAACGTCGACGAAGACGAAACGCAGTCCACACATTTGTGCTCGGGGAGTCAACCATACCCTGCGCCCTTCAGCATCGCGGGTCAAGACCAGTCGGTCGCAACGGTGCGTTGCGTGGGCGGGGCACGCAGTCATCTATCGCACGCCATCAGCCTGGCGCCAACCGGCCATGCCTCGCGATAAGGAGGTGCAGAGCTCTAGGCTTCGCGCGCTCGTTGATTGAACGCTCGGAAGAAGATTGCATTGGGGGCAAAGAATTCCAAGCACCCTACCGAACAAATTGCATTCGCGTGCGGCACTGCGTTACAAAGGAAATCCAACACTGATAGTTTAGAGTGCGGACATGTAATTTTGAGTTTACTCTTTTCCGAGCTACGTAAGGCACCTCAGAAACTAATGATGTGGAGCCTGACTGCAGCGTATGCAAGTTTACTCAGTCTTGGGACTCATGGCAGTACTTCCTGGATATTGACGGCCACCCCTTCGTTGGGATGAATCGTGTCATTTGCCCTTCCCATTCTACTTCCCATTCTAATTCAGTCCAGGCTTCCCGCCCCAAATAGAATTCTTCTGGGTCCCAGAGCTCACCAACATCCCCGTCATATTGGACTGTAGACTTTCCATCGGCGATGTCTCGAATCATCTGTGCAAACCCTGCAGGAAGGCTCCATGGTCCAGTGAAAGCACAGTCGTAATCTATTGGTGCAGGTCTTGCTCTCGGCTGTTTGCCATTTGCTCGACACTGCCTAAGCAGAGCCTCTTGAGTAGCTGCTGCGTATTTTAACAGATTCCAGCCCACCATTGATTCCTCGCTATGTCCGTCGATGACCAGCTGGAAGGAATGTGCTGGCATCCCGTGAGAAGCTAGTGAAGTGGCTTCTTCGATCCAAGAAACCAACACAGTAAGCAAATCGCTGGGCAAGATGAATCCGTCATAAGGATTTGCTAGTTGGTAGGAACAAGCTGGTAGTAGGTTGTTCATGATACCTATTCGCCTGACGATGCGAAGCTTGGGACATTCGAGACAGTAGGGGATGAAACTGCGACCATGAGACTCTGGACGGGATACAGCTCTGAAATCTTCATTGAGAACAATGGTGCGCATGTTCTCTCGTTGTCGTTTCGACGAACGTCGTACTGCCTTTGTTAGCATATGGTGGTTGCATAAAGGTTCAGATAGGCTTACAGAAGTCGACTGCTACAGCCGCAGCTGAAAAGTACCACCGCTGACGCCTGGCCGATAGGTGAGCTGTAATGTCCTGAAAGTATCGAGCTCCATCCTTGGTTATGTGCAGCTCAACATCCGAGTCTCTGGGTTGACAAATTAGAGCCTCAATTCTAGATAGCTCGTGATCCCCCGGAATGCACCACGGTTCGGGCTGCCAACGGAGTATCTCGGGCAGAGCACTCTCAACGAAAAGATTGTGGCGTTCCAGACCCAGTGCGGTGTAAGGAACAGGGCAAGCACCTGCGCCGAACGTGATACGGGCCAAGTCCACGAATTCTGAGGCGGATTGAGTCTTTGCAAGAATCAACGCACAATGGAGGGCGTCGCTAAAGTTCTGATCAAGGATGTCTTGGCCGCCCAATTCATCCCTTTGGTTCGCGATCGATCTCTGCAAAGGTTCGTTGAACCACGTCTTGACAGTTGGATAGCGAGTGCATAACTCCAGAAAGTCTCCATGTTTCAAAAGTGGCGCGACACGCACGAGCATGCGACATCTCTGGCGCTCGACGTAAGTCAATACTAAGGCAATGTAAGTGCTCAAAATGGGAGATTAGTTGATGTGGTACCTACAGCACTCGAA